CTGCTAAGTCGCTTCAGCCGTGTCCGACTCTGTGCAACCCCATAGACGGCAGCCCACCAGGCTCCTCCGTCCATGGGATTTACCAGGCAAGAGTACTGGAGTGGGTTGCCATTGCCTCATCAGCTACTGAGACACAAGCTGGAGCCTAAACCTTGCTTCCCACCCAATCTCCTCCAAGTCCTGCCGGCTGAGTGACCCTATGTCAGTCATTTGGGGGACCAGAGGGAGTCATGTAACAGCAAGATCTAGTTTACAACTAGTCTGAAGTAGGAGTCTGCACAGACTCCCAATATTAGTTGGGGATCATAGTAAATCCCCACCCCCAGCTATTTTGACTAAAGCTGCCTTAATAGCGGAACAGATCAGGAAGGGTAACTAGGAAAGATGGTGCTAGCTTTGGGGAAAAGGAGTAGAAAGTGAGTCTTAGGGAGGGAAGGTGGAAGGAACAAACAGATTTTTGCATTTCTGTGAAGCGTATCAGAGACCTGAGTAGACCGAAGAAGAGGGTGTTAAGGGGAGATGGCCCAGGAGGGAAATACAGGGGGAAAAGGGGTTAAGACAGACATAGCATCTCACTTTTCTTGCTGTGTCTGCTGTGAATGAGTTAATGCAGGGTTTGCCCATAATACAGTTGTTCTAGTATCCAGGACTCCCACAGATGCTAAAATCCAGAGGCTCTAATCTCTTTATAAAATGGCATAGTATGTGCACATAACCTGTACATATCTTCCCATATACTTTACTTTTTTAACTTTTTTTATTTTGTACTGGGGTATAGCCTCTTAATGAAAGTGAAAGAGGAGAGTGAAAAACTTGGCTTAAACTCAACATTCAGAAAACTAAGATCATGGCATTTGGTCCCATCACTTCATGGCAAATAGATGTGGGAAAAGTGGAAACAGTGTCAGACTTTATTTTGGGGGGCTCTAAAATCACTGCAGATGGTGATTGCAGCCATGAAATTAAAAGACGCTTACTCCTTGGAAGGAAAGTTATGACCAATCTAGATAGCATATTAAAAAGCAGAGACATTACTTTGCCAACAAAGGTCCATCTAGTTAAGGCTTTGGTTTTTCCAGTGGTCATGTATGGATGTGAGAGTTGGACTGTGAAGAAAGCTGAGCATCGAACAATTGATGCTTTTGAACTGTGGTGTTGGAGAAGACTCTTGAGAGTCCCTTGGACTGCAAGGAGATCCAACCAGTCCATGCTAAAGGAGATCAGTCCTGGGTGTCCATTGGAAGGACTGATGCTGAAGCTGAAACTCCAATACTTTGGCCACCTCATGCAAGGAGTTGACTCATTGGAAAAGACCCTGATGCTGGGAGGGATTGGGAGCAGGAGGAGAAGGGGATGACAGAGGATGAGATGGCATCACCAATTCGATGGACATGAATTTGAGTAAACTCCAGGAGTTGGTGATGGACAGGGAGGCCTGGCGTGCTGCGATTCACGGGGTCGCAAAAAGTCAGACACAACTGAGCGACTGAACTGAACTGAACTGATAGCTGATTAACAATGTTGTGATGATTTCAGGTGAATAGGGAAGAGACTCAGCCATACATATTCACTTATCCATTCTCCTCCAAACTCTCCTCGCACCCAGGCTGCCACTGAGCAGAATTCCATATGCTATGCAGTAGGTCCTTGTTGGTTATCCATTTTAAATATAGTTGTGTGTACATGTCCATCCCAAATTCCATAACTACCCTTTCCCCCATCCTTCCCCCCCCCCGCACCCCCCCAACCATAAATTCATTCTCTAAATCTGTGCCTCCCACATACTTTAAAATCTTCCCTAGATTACTTATAATACTGACTACAATGTAAATGCTATGTAAATCAATGTAAATGCTACGTAAATAGTTGCCAGTACATGGCAAATTCAAGTGTTGCTTTTTAGAACTTTCTGGGATTTGTCTTTTTCTGAAAATTTTTGATTGCATCCACGGATAAAGAACCCACAGATAAGGAGGGTCGATTGTAAATGCACTGAGTTCTAAAGAGTCCAACTTTGGGATTTTGCAGTCTCTCATGTTTCAGGATTACTCTGTATATATAGGACTGTGACAAGGAGTCCCAGGCTCTATGCAGACAACTCCAAGCAGACTGATAATTACAAGAGCTCAGTTTTGCTCTTTAACCCAGTTTGACCCTGTTTAATACCTAAGTCTTGTGTCTACAGTTCCAGTCTGTCTCGTGGGTTGGTCTGGTGCCCATTAACCTTGGCCCTTGGGGATATTCAAGAAAGCAGACCTAGATCTGTCCAAATCAGACGCATGGCCTTCTGTTGCTCAGGGGCAAAGCCACACACAGCCTTGCATCTCCTCCACGGGACCCCCACAACTTCTACACAATGTGCAACTACAATGCAAGGAATCGCGGAGAAAAAAACCAAGAGTGATGGATTATAACACAGGCAGACAGTGTCATTGCTTAAACGTGCTTGATGCATCAGGACTCAGCTTAACAAGTCATTTGACCCAGCACATAGTTGCCTCTGGCTTCTTACCCCTTTTCCTTTGAACTTCTGTTCACAGACTGGCCTTGTTTTCCAGGATCATGAATCCAACCCTGCCCTTACCTCCCATTTCAATAAACTGGAGATGCCTGTTCAGGAGGTTTGGGATTTTGCATCCACCCAGCCTGCTTCTGGGTGATGCTGATGCTCCTGGCCCATGGACCACACTCCAGGCAGTGACATGCCAGTGTGGATCTGTCCTCACCATCTCCTGGATTCTCCTTGCCTCAAATCTACCTCCTTTTTGAATCCTAGCCGGTTAGTCCTAAAACATGCATTCTCAGTGGTGGCAACAGCGCCCCCAAGGGGGCAAAAATTTGTTATTGGGAGCAGCTTACTCTTTCAAAGCACAGTGATACCTAATACAGTACATAAACAGATATATAGTATATATTAAAATTTTATGGGAGTGAAATTATAAGAAATAGTGTCTTTAAAGTTTTCATTAAGAGGGAAATAATTAAAGAAAAGTTGAGACACACGGGCTGAAGGCTAACTCCTTTCAATAATGGCACCTAGTTGCTATAGTAAATGATATGACATGATACGAAATGACATCAGTGTGTCCCTTCCCTGCTGCCTGCCCCTGATCCCCCCCCAGCTGTCTGGACCAAAGGCCCTTCTTCTGCAGGTTCTGCATCCTTTTCCCAGAAGGCACAGTGTCCGCCTGCCTCACCTATTATATTATTGGGGAACTCCAGTCCCACACGAAACGGATACATTAAAGCCTACCTATAGTACCCTCACGCGTGCGTGAGTGCTAAGTCTCTTCAGCTGTGTCCGACTCTTTGAGACCCCATGGACTGTAGCCCACCAGGCTCCTCTGTCCATGAGGATTCTCCAGGCAAGAACACTGGAGTGGGTTGCCATGCCCTCCTCCAGGGCATCTTCCCAACCCAGGGATCGAAACTGCATCTCTTAAGTCACCTGCATTGACAGGCGGGCTCTTTACCACTAGCACCACCTGGGAAGCCCCAATGCTCTCATACCTGGGCAGTACTGCCTTTGCCAGTTTAGTTACTTGATCTAAAATTAGGAAGGGGTCACAAATATAGTCCTGAGTGCTAAAGGGCTTGCTCAAGGCTGAAGCACATTCACATGGGCCTGACCTTACCTCCTCCTTAGGAAGTCAACACCAGCATCCTGACGGGATCAGTAAAGGAACCAGGCCTCGGGGGTGCCCACCCAAGTCACACACATGGTAGAATCGGGACCCCAACTCACAGTCCAGTGTTCAGCCTACCATCTTCCATCTGGTCCAAAAGGACAATGCTGACTATCTGATGGGAATTTTTAAACAGATGTGTATGAGCCAGAATGGCAGGCAGGGAAGCCCCCGAGAGACCGAGCCCCCCAGGGCTCTGTGATGAAGGCTCTGAAGTCACCTCACCAGCCAGGCCAGGAGGCCAGCCGAGCGCACACAGGGACCGATCCACGCTGATCCTACTGATCCTCCCCTGGGGACAGGGGCAGTACAGAGGGGTCAAGAGTGTGGGTGTTGATCCAGACAGGCGTGAGAACTCAGTGACAGCTCTGCCACTAACCAACTAATTGGCAGGCACCCAGCTTCTCTGCACCTCTGTTTCCCCGTCTGTAAAGTGGAGGTGCCAACAATGATCATTTCACAGGATTGGGAGAATTCAATGAGAAAAAAATGTGAAGCTCTTAGCACTATGCCTGGTACATAATAAACAAACAGGAAATTGTTCGAAGGAGCTGGTCTTGATAGCCTAAGAAATTCTCAGAATATCCATTCTACTTTCCACACCTGAAACTGCCAAATTCCCAGTGACCTCTGAGAATTTATAAGACAAAATCTAACTTCTATGAAGTTTTATGGGCTTTTACCCATAAATCTTCATCTCCTCCAAGAAGCCCTCTTGATGGCCCTCACCCTGAGCATACCGAACATGGCTCTTTCCCCTGGTCCTCATCTCCAGACCTGACTTCCTGCTCCCTGAATATACCTTCCCTTAGGCCCAGCCATGATGGTTAGACTAGTCCTCCAACCCTGTTCTGGTTACTCATTAGTCAGATCCCACTAAATACATGTCTGGGCCCGAGCCCCTCTTCCTGACTGGGTGGACCACCCAACTCCACAAATGGGACCCAGGTCCAATCACAGGCCCTGTAGAGGCCCCAGCAGAGCTATGTCCACTCACTTAGCCTGGCCCTGACACCAGCCCTGTGAGGCCACTCTTGGGGCAGCAAGAGGTGGAGCCAGGGAAAGAAGGCAGAGGCCGAATTCTGGGAGAGATTTCACACTCCAACTTGAGATAGGAAAGCGTGACAGATGATACTTGTAAAACACAGAGTTGGAGCATCCTGAGCAAATGTGCATGGCTGTAAAAACCCACAGCAAACAAGAGGCAGGGAGAGAAGCAGGTGCCATAGCCTCGGAGGTGAAATCTGCTCCTTGAATATCAATTCTCCAAGTTTTCTTGGAGGGTTTCCTGGAGTCTTTTAATGACCCGCTTACGTACGATGGCATCAAACCCTCCTGGCAGTTGTGTGCAGGAGAGGCTGGGGACACGGTCCTCCAGGTCTCTGAGGGCCCCTCCTCCTCTCTGAAACTCCCCGCTCCAACCAAACACTCCCCCAGATCTGTAAGGGGCTTGGGGAGCACTGGGACAAACATGGGGCCATACACAACTGCAAGGCACATGCTGTTATTTCCAGTCAGCCGATGAGAGCACAGAGGTTCCAGCGGTTAACACAGATGTGGCAGAGCTAGAATTCCAACCCAGGCCTTCCAAGCACAGGTTCCATTCCACTCCAGGCACATCTTGCTTTACTGTGCTTCATTTGATTGCCCTTCATAGATATCGTGTTTCTTTACAAATTGAAGGTTTGTGGCAACAACCTTGCATTGAGCAAGTATATTGGGGCCATTTTACCGACAGCATTTGCCCACTTCATGTCTCTGTGTCATACTTTGGTAATTCTTGCAGTATTTTAAACATTTTCATTTTTATTGTGTTTGCTATGGTGACTGGTGATCTGTGATCAGTGATCTGTAATCAGTCTTTGATGTTACTACTATGACTTTCTGAAAGCTTACAAAATGGTTAGTTTTTAGCAATAGAGTTCTTTTAAATTAAGGTATTACATTGGTCTGCCTTTTTTTAGATATAATGCTCCTATGCACTTCATAGACTACAGTATCATGTAAATATAACTTTGAAATGCACTGGGAAGCCAAAAATTCATGACTCACTTTATTACGATATTTGCTTTATTGTAGTGGTTTGGAACAGAACTGCAATATCTCCAAGGTATGCCTGCGTATGACAACTCTATCCCTTCAAATAAACTGTGCTCAAAAACTACAACTAAACTTCAAATAAACTGCTCAGAAACTGTGCTAAGGCTCTAACTATGCTCAAAATAAAATTGCAAGACACCCCAATACTTCTTGCTTCTGTCCAGGGTCCTGTTACATTTGGCTGTCTCTGCTTGGTTTCTGCTCTGTGTCTCTGCTCTCAGTCTAGACACCTCCCCCATCAGAATGGGGACCCAGGCCCCAGATGCCAGTACTGTGCTCATCTCCAGCCTGGGACAGGGGACTTTCTGAAGGAGAACTGCTCCATCTCACAGACTGGACAGACTTGACTTGACGTACCTGACACCAGAGGCCAGAACCCCCTGGATCCTTGATTTTATTTCAGAACTGCAGGCTAGACACAAAGGCGATTTTCACTGTAGCCAACCCAGGGCCTGGGTGGCCAAAAGGTTGCTGGCTTCTCCCAGTGGCCCCACCCACCTCATCTGCATTTCCCACCCCTTCCACCCTCCCTCTCCTCCTAGGTCTCTCCTCCTCGGTCTAGCCTCCTGAAAGCTTCCTGCTCACCCTCTCTCGGGCCAGGACTCCCCAGCATCTCAGATTTCAGGGCCTGGGAAAGAAACTGGCACCTCAGAGAAGGCGGCGGCAGGCACCCAGTCCAACCCGACAGGGGATGGAGCTGGGAGCCGACCTCCCAGAGACGCATCGCCAGAGGCTGAAACCGAAATGCCAAGTTAGCTGTTTGTATCCCCCAGGGCCAGGTTAGGAAGATACGTAATTACATTCCTGAACAGGAATTAGACCAGAAACTCTAAATTGAGGACCGGGCAGAGGGCTTGAGCAGAAGCAGGGAAGGAGCTGGAGGACAGAGACGGAACTCGGCACCCCTAGCCCGAGTCAGAAGGGAGAGACGACATCTCAGCGTCAGCAGATGGGCCCGGGCAGCTGGTGTGGTCTGCGGAGGCTGCCGGCAGGCCCTCTCGAGCTTCCCCATCCTCTCTGCAGGACCCTGACCCCCTTCAGCCTCCAAAGTACTGCACAAGCGAGGCCACAGCTGGCTGGGCTCTGCTGTACGTGGCTGAGTAAAGCTCTTCGCAGAGGACAGCGATCAGCCCAGGACACAACCCTAAGACCTGGGATCTGAGCTCCCAGTCTCCCCACAATCCCCCCATCTGTGCTCCCAGTCTCGCCACAAGCCCTGAGTTCCAAGACGGCCCCCACCCTCGTACAACAGCCCAACAAGAACCTCTCAGCCTGGTCCCAGGGAACTTCACAGCTCAGAGACAGGCAGTCTCCTGCCTAGCTCTGCTCCTCCCCAGCCATGGGGGGGGTCAATTTCTTGAAGCCGCCCTGCTCCCACGGCCCCTCAAGGCCAATCAGCCCTTTGCAGTCACAGAGGACCCCCTCCCTGACACACGCATGCACACACACACACACACACACACACACCACTGTCGTGAGGGCAGAGGGTCAGCATCTACAGCCATGCCTGTAACACCAGCTCACGGTGCAGGCTCCGCCAAGCTCCCGCTACCCGCAGGTATCTGCCTGTCTGTGGCATCTCAGCAGGCACTTGGTGCTGGCCTGGATCAGTCCCCCTGCGGTCCCCGCTCAGGCTCCCTCCTGTTTCCCTTTCAGGTTCTGGCTTTCAGGAGCTCTGTCTCCCTGGAACTCACTGCCTATGTCCTTTGTACTGGGGTGATGCAAAGATGGGTAGGACACCTCCCTGTCGTCCCCTCGGGTCTGTGCAGAGCGAGGCACTGCTGGCACTGACTGCCCACTACTCTCCCTCCTCCCTGCCCAGGCCAACCTTAGAACCCTAGAACCAGGGCAGGGCTGGCAGGAGACAGACCTATCAACCAGGCACAGCTAATACCAGTTTCCATATTGCTTCATCATGCCATTCTGATGCCCCAAGCTGCACACACACCATCTCCCCAATCTCCCTGCCTTCTACCTGAAGACAGGAGAGGGTCCCTGAGGTTGCCCTACATGCCTGCCTCCCTCAACTGCAATGAAGCCTTCCTTCCCTCCATCAGCACTGAGTCAACTCCTCCACACCAGGCTTTACCCACCCCACCCAGCCCACAGTGCGCAGGGAGCCCTGGCGTCCGACCCAGCCCCCAGCAACCGCTCCAGCCCGGCTTCGCCCATGGGGAGATGCAACAGAGTGGTCTGGCGGCAAAGTTCTCCTGCTGTTTCAGCGTTTCTATCTACCTGCAGCTCCTGACTCTCCCCTCCTGCTCTCTGGCCTCAAACGGAACTCGCTCTTCCCGCTCCTCGCCAGAGTTTCACCTCCACGATCAAAAAGAAAGAAAGAAATGAAAAGGAAACCTCCCGCGATAACGATGGGCGAAAAGAGAAGGGAGTATCCGCAGGGCTGCTCGGGTGAGAGAGCCCTCAAGTGAAAAGAGAAAGGGATGCAAAGTTCCCAGCTCCCCCGGGCGCGTTCAGCCCCGCGCCGAGCTCCTGCAGACACCCGATCGCTGAGACGCGGCGGCCGTGGCGACCACTCACCTGGGCGAGGCAGCATCTACCTCCGGCTGGGAGGCACCGAGGCCGGTTCCGCGGGGCGCCCGGGCTCCCCGGCTCGGCCACGCATCCTTCCCCGCCCGAGACTGGCTCGAGCTAAGCCCTCCGGCGAACACAGGCAGATGGTGGCCTCGGATGTCCACGCGGGGAGAGCCCTGAGCGGCTTATTCAGTTATATCCACGGCATTTAGCACGAAGAAAGAAACAAAAAGCACAACTTGTTCTCTTCCAGATTAAAAAAATAATAATAATAACATAATCTCTCCCTAGGAGGACGGCGGCAGGATTTTCCAAATCGAAGAACCCCGGGCATCCCCAGGAACCTCGGGCATCTTGGAATGTGGGGCGTCTTCAAGTTCAGACGAGCCAGCCGGTTGTGCGTGTGAGTGTGTGTGTGTGTGTGTGTGTGTGTGTGTGTGTGTGTGTCTCAGAGAGAACGAGCCAGGCACTCACACCCACACGCACACAAACACACTCCCCCGCACGCCCCGCATGCACACTGCCACCCCCCCGCGCGCGCACACGCGCGCGCCCCCGTCACACATACACACACACGCACGGCGATCGCACGCATGGAGCAAGGAGGGAGCCAGGCGGGCTGCGGCGGCCGCCGAGAGCCGGAGACGGAGAGAGCCCAGCGGCCGGAGGCGCCCGGAACCCGGGCCCGTGCGCGCCGTCCCCGCCGAGCCCTCAGGCGAGGCCGCCCCCAGCGGCGGCCGGCGGAGCTGCAGGAGTCGGGAGCCGGCCTAGGGCCAGCCGCGCGGTGCACCCCCTTCCTTCCCGCACGGCCGCCGGAACTGGAGGGCTCGCGGTCCCGGCCTGGGTGGCGCGAGGGCAGCTGCTGGCTAGCGGTGCTCGCCCGGAAGGGCGGCGGGGGTGCGGGGAGGGCGGCGGGCGGGCCTCGCGGCCAGGAGCCGGCAGGACGGGCTGGGCGGCCCGGCGGCACGGGCAGACCCTGCGCCAAGCGTGCCGGGCGGCCTGGGTTGCGCGCTGCGGCCGGAGCCGGTGCTGCCGCCTCACGTGCGGAGCGCGCCGTGCAGCCTTCAGCCCTTCGCCTGCCGGAGGAGAACCCCGCCGCGCCGGCCCTGGGCTGAGGGTGGGGGCTGGGACCATCGCGCCCAACCAGCCCTGGCGGGGTTCTGATTCCCACACCCTAGCGGGGCGACCCAGGACAAATGAGAGCCCAGTGCAGGCGGGCCTGGAGAATTCAGGCCAGGACTATACAGTCCATGGGGTCGCAAAGAGTCGGACACGCACCTTTAGACTTCGGAATATTGTCAGAATCTGTCAAGTGTGCAGTGGCGCCAACTGTTTGCACAGCGCCTCCCTTTGTTTGATCCTGCCACCAACCCTCATTTGACATTGGAGGAAAATGAGGCCTGGAACAGTAAAGCGACCTGTCCGAGGCCCGTGGCGTGTCATTAAACCCCCGTGGGCTTAACATCAGAAGGTCTGGGTCTGGCTGGGGTCTCATCTAACTTTCGTTATTTATCCTCTCTGTCCACTGGGATCAGCAACCAGTTTCCAGAAAGGTAGGACCAGGCTCTGCCTTACTGGTCTTTCCAAGAAGTTCAGGTACCTTTCCCACAGAAAAAACTGAGAATTTGAGATTCCTGCTTGTACTCCAGCTGCTAAATCCAGGGAGAATGTCTCAATCCCTCTCTGCTCTCCTAAACACCTCCCATGCAGCTGTCCCAGGTACCCACAGGGAGGCACATGTGGCATGTGGATGTGGCTCTGCAGCTCAGGATTGGCTCAGCTGCTTAAATCTGTAATCTGAAACCCTGCCTCCTCTCTGACTGTGCACTGTGAGCTGGATGGAAATCTGCCCAAGCCCAGGCACCTAGACTCCCGGTGTGCTGTACTCCCAGGGAAACTGCCAAATCAGAATTCTGCGGACCCTCGAAGACAGGCTCTTTCTTGGAGGCATTCTAGAAAGCCTAAGGAGAAAAGGGCATGGCCAGGATGAAACTCAAGGTACATCAGAGTGGGCAAGAAAAGAGAGGTAGAAACAGGGTGGGGATAGAGGTGTGTGCTGTGCTTAGCTGCTCTGTCATGTCCGACTCTTTGCGACCCCATGGACTGTAGCCCGCCAGGCTCCTCTGTCTGTGGGGTTTCTCCAGGGAAGAATAGTGGAGTGGGTTGCTATGCCCTCTTCCAGGGGGTCTTCCCAACCCAGGAATCGAACCCAGGTCTCTCGCCTTGCAGGTGGATTCTTTACCATCTGGGCCAGCAGGGAAGGGAAGATAAATGAGGAAAGCAAGGAGGAAGGAGAGGTTGAGTAGAAGAAGTGGGGGCAGAAACAGGGGGACTCCCCAGGGGAAGTGGTGGGGGAAGGAATGAAGGCGGGAATCAGCAGGGAGGTTTTCTTCCTTGTTTACCTTTGGTTTTGCATTCCATAGGTGGAAATTCCAAGAGGAGGAGTTAAGAGTGGAAGGAGGAGCTTTAGTTTAGATTCCAGTCTCTGAATTCCCCTCCAAGAGTCAAGGGCATCAGGCTAGATTATCTTCTTACACCAACGTCGCCCAGGAGAGGACTGGAATCTAGTGGCAGGGATAAGATGAGACTGGGACCAGAGCAGAAATGCAGCTGCACTCAGAAACCAATAAGACATTAGGATGGCATGAAGGCCAGGGATGCTGGGGGTAGCCCAATTCTTGCTCCAAAGGAACCCAATACGCCGTCAGGAAGTTGTCCCAGGACTTCCCTGATGGTTCAGTGGATAAGAAGGACTTCCTTGGCTGCTCAGACGGTAAAGAATCCGCCTGCAATAAGGAAGACCTGGGTTTGATCCCTGGGTCGAGAAGATCCCCTGGAGAAGGGAATGGCTACCCACTCCAGTATTGCCTGGAGAATTCCATGGACCGAGGAGCCTGGTGGGATGCAATCCATGGGATTGCAAAAGGTCAGACACGACTGAGCCACACACACACAGTGGATAAGAATCTGCCTGCCGAATGCAGGGGACACGGGTTCAACCCCTGGTCCGAGAAAATCCCACATGCCTCGGAGCAACTAAGCCTGCCACTACTGAGCCCATGTGCTGCCACTACTGAAGCCCAAGCTCCTTGCATATGCTCTGCGACAGGAGAAGCCACTGCAATGAAGAGCCCCTGCTCACAGCAGCTAGAGAAAGCCTGTGCACAGCTCCGAAGACCAGTGCAACCAAAAAGAAAGAAAGAATAAAGTTGTCCCAGCTCAAAGAAGGGAATGACTATCCCATAAAGAGCCAGGACCTGGGTCATCTCTTGTACTTTGGATAATTCTGAGGACAACTGGCTTATTTTTTCAATAATATTCGCCTCACCTGAGCACTCAGCTCTGGGTAGGAGTCAGGTGGCCTGGATGTTCAATATGCCTCTGTACTAACAAGCAATGTTGACAATCCCCATCCCCTCAAAAGGGCTGGCCTGTGTGCTGGCTAAGGGCCTGCCCAGCTCTAGGAACCCATGGGCAACCCTGGCAGATGGAGCAGGCTGGGGACCCAGATGCTTCTCAGGAGGCCAAGAGAAAGCCAGTCTGCTGTTACCATTCATGGCTGAAAGTCCCCAGAAGATAATCTACACTTCAGTAATGGAGAGATAGGGATGGTGGGTTTCTTGTTTCCCTGAGCAAGCCCAGAAGGGCTGGGTAGGGGCACTGCTGTGCTAGCTACCTGGCTGCTTTTACTGATTGCTAACCGCAGAGCTGGACCAAGGCTTCCCAAAAGGGATGCTATGGTCATCCTGTGAAAGAGAGGTGGGAGTGGGGGCAGAGGGAGAGAGGTCCAGGGAGGAGATGAAATCTCGCATACCATCCAGTCTAAGGCTGGGCAGCGTGATTCTTCTACACTTTTCACTTTTCTAAATAACCCTACGGTGAACATCTTTGTCCCTAAGTCTTTGCCCACCTTCTCGCTTCTTTGCTTGGGTTAGATTTCCTGAAGTAGGATCACTGGGCAGAAGGATACAAACATTTGCAGGGCTCTCTGTGTAATACATACTCCTTTGTTTCAGTTTTAGAGCCAAGGCACTGAAGTGCAGGGCAGATAAATGATTTCCCAGAGAGCTCCCAGCAGGTGTTTAAGAATGTTTTCATCCACCTTTTCATGTCTCTATGTGGCAGAGAGTGAGGGGGCCTTGTGCTTCCCACCACACATCAGGGCAGTGCCGCCTCCCGGAAGATAACTCTATGTCCCAACACGGAGAAAGCTCAAGCTCCGTGGCCCCCTGTCATGAACCATCCTCCCCTAAGCTCCTGAGCACTCCTTTCAGTTTTTATTTTTTATTTATTTTTTAATTAATTAATTAATTAATTTTAATTTACACCATTGTATTGGTTTTGCCATACATTGACTTGAATCCACCATGGGTGTGCATGTGTTCCCCATCCTGAACCCCCCTCCCACCTCCCTCCCTATCCCATCCCTCTGGGTCATCCCAGTGCACCAGCCCCGAGCATCCTGTATCATGCATCGAACCTGGACTGGCGATTCATTTCACATATGATAATTTACATGTTCCTGAGCACTCCTGACCAGCTTCACCCTGTTGTCTGCATCCCCTGGCTTTCCGGTTGAGCTATAGGCACTGATCCCCACAGCCCACTTCTGGGCAGGTGGTGACTCCCAATCCTGCTTGCTTAATGGGATCTCAGTGCATAATGAGAGGAGTTCTTAGGAGGGGCTGGAGGTTGAGAGGCCATCAGTCTGAGAAGGAGAAGGTCAAGCTGGCCTGGGCCTTCATAACCGGCAGAAGGACTCCTGTGCAAAAGACGAGGAGAAGCCTCTCTATATCCACCCAGTATGGAGAAGAGAGGGAATTGGCATAAAAAGCAGTGAGGGGGACTTCCCTAGTGGCTCGCTGGTTAAGAATCTGCCTGCCAATGCAGGGGACATCGGTTTGATTCCTGCTCTGGAAAGATCCCACATGAAACTAAGCCTGTGCGCCAGAACTACTGAAGCCTGCAAGTCCTAGAGCCCACGCTTGGTAGCAATGAGAAGCCAGCACACAGCAGCTAGAGAGTAGCCCCTGACTGCTGCAACTAGAGAAAGCCCTTACCCAGCAACCAAGACCCAGCGCAGCCAAAAATAAACAAATAATTAATCAATAAAAATTACTTAAAAAAAAAGCAGTGAGGGATTCGGGTAGATGACAGGACACAGCCAGATGCCTGAACATATGGAATCACAGAGTGAGGACTGTTGAGTCTGCTCCATAAAGAAGAGCAGTCTGTAATCCCAGGAATTTGCTAGATGCTTCTTAGAGTGCCCCTTGGCACATCGTGGACTGAAGACAAATTTTGTGGGCCAGAGGAATCAGAGAGATCCTGGGACACAGTCTCGTGAGGCCTTGGGATCTCCCTCCACTGAGTCGATTGCATGGCTAGAACTTAGGAGCCATTCCTAAATCCTCAGGCCCATTCTCTCTGCTTCCACCAGGACCAACAGCCAGCCTGATCCCAGTTTATCCCACAGGCTTTGTAGATCTTGCCATGTTTCCTCTGGAGCCGAGGCCTAGCCCTGGAGCGCATTTGATAGAGATTCAGGTGCCATGTCTTTTAATCCTGCGGTGCCCTCTACCCCTCCTCCCTTCCCAAATGCTGGAGTAAGAAGCAGCCAAAATAAATTCCTATTAGTATGCATATGTATTCCCAAATTCCTTAACAGAATGACTAACACCACCTACAGCCATTAGCTGGAGTTTGTTTTCTAAATCCAGTTTACTTTTCATCATAAAGCCCTCTGTTTATCTCTCCCCCTCCCCCAGGCCTCAGGGGCTCCCTTCACAGCCTCACTCTCTTACTAATACCAGGTCTGGAGTTGGGTTCCTGATTCGTCAAAGGGTCAGACAATCCTGAAAGATCACATTCAATCAACACGGAAGTCTTGACTGTGTGCCTTTTATACACTGCCTAGCATTCTGCTCCATACCACAGGGGAGAAGATGGGGAGGAAGAAGGCAGAGTCTCTTTCTGGAGAGAAAGGACACAAATTGACAGTGGCGCAGCGTCCTGCAGTCTGTAAAGAGCATTCGTAAATGCTGTCTCACTAGTTCGCCATACCAGTCCCAGGCAATCGATCATTGCCCCATTTTATAAACAAAGAGACTAAGTC